ATTCCGCAAAAAGAAAAGGAAACAGTGGGGACGCACGTTCTAACCTAACCTAACCTAACCTATTCTAATAAATTACCACAATTATTACCGATTAAATTATTAGAATAGGTTAGGTTAGGTTAGAACGTGCGTCCCCACTGTTTCCTTTTCTTTTTGCGAAATCAGAGATGAGCTGCCATGAGTCTACGTATATGGACGTTAACCCGCGCGTCGGTTTTACCCGTTTATCGCGGCGCAGCAGCCGCTGCCGTTCGCTCGCGTCGTCACGTGACACGTCGTCTCCAAAGCAATCCGGTTTCGAGGCTAAAACAGGAAGAGCCGCCATGATGGTCTACGACCCTGGACATTAACCGAAAATTGCATGCAATTTTCAAACGGCAATCTGTATTACATTGACCGTCATTGTTATAAAGCCTCGAAAGAGTACAGTAAAGAATATATTCATTGTAAAGCTCATTTACACTTTTAAATGCTAAAGTACAGTATAAGAGAATTTTTTTTTTGCTTACCCATTTAAAAGCAGGAGCCCAAAAGAAAACTGTTTTTGGACCTATAATACAATAGAAAATAATAAAATGTGCTTAAATATAGAGTAAACAGTACTCCAAACACTACCATCATTTCGACGCCATGTTTGAGATGTTGATGAGCTTATGATATATCTGCATCTCTTTATATACTTGACTACATTTTTGTGTAAGTCACTTACACTCAACAGTTATATTAAAGTAAAGTCTATATTTTGAATTGGTAAGCATAGATAATAGAGTGGCGCACCGGCATATAAGTACAATTGCATGAAATGGTGCTTGCAATTCAAACATGGCGTCCAAATGATGGTAACACACATGGCGACATCTTTTGCTGAAAAAAAAATTTAAACATCAATTTCCTCTTTTTATTTATAATTCGTTAAGACCTATATTATATTATGTATTGAAAACTACACTCGAATTAGATATTTCTGACACGTTATCAATGAATTTAAACAAGTCACATGACCAAAATATCTTGCCTGCAGGATGATTCCAGAGAGGAACCAATTTCTTGGGAACATGTGGGTCCACTTTCCCTATTATAACTCGATATATTGCAGACATTTTGTTGCCTAATTTATGTGCTAAAATGCATAAACATCTAAATATACAAACAGCGTAACCGACTTTCCCTAATGTTGACCTTGCCTCGCAGCTGATTATAAACACATTACACCCCCTGGTGGAAAATTTTATAAATTATAAATACAGTAGGGAGTCGATTTTCCGAATCAATTGGGGACTGGGGTTGTTCGTATAACTGATATTTCGGATAACTGATTTATGTACGAAAAAATAGTTTAACGTATCCGATGTTAAAATTTTTATCNGCATTATATTGTATTAATAAACAAAGTTATTTGCTTATTTTTCACTTATGTAGAACCTAATGCTATACCTCACTGTAAATATGGGTTCATTTTACGCTGATTTGATTTGTGCCGGCGTTTGTAGGAATGGAACTGCGGTGTAAACCGAGGGCTACTTGTAGTGACAAAACAAAGTGAAAACAAGGAAGGAAAACTCAGCAAAATAGCAGTAAAAGTTTTTTCTTTTTATTGTTATGATTAAATACATTTTAAAACTTTCTGTATATACCGTAATATTTCCAGTAAACCATGAATACTTAATAAGTGTTTGGCTTTTTCTGTAAATAATCAGTCATGAAAGATGATGTTCTTTTATTAAGATTTTTCTGGATGTTTTCAGCTTCCTTCTTTTTTGCTTCCTCTTGCTTTTGAACACTTTTAACACCAAAAAGCATGACATGTGCTGCCCGTATTTCATTCATATTCTTGCTATTAATGGCCTTCCCCAGTTTTTTGTTTGCTGCTTCTAACAAAACCTGGCCTGTCTCATGTATTTCACTTTCTTCTACTTTTTTCTGTTTTAAACTCTGCTGCAGTGCCATAATCTTTTCCTTGACATGAATAGCTCTCTTTTGATGTTCTTCAAAATTTTTCTGTACTTCCTCTTCTGCTCTTTTTTTCTATTTCTCTTTTTCTTTTAACTTCTTTTCATTTTCCAATTGATCTTGATAATTTCTATGTGCTGAGGCAGCTAATTTCAGTAAATCCTTTGTAATAGGTACAAGGTGTGGGCTTCGGTCATACATGTTTAGTCCCTCCTTAACAATCAAAAGTGAATTAAGCATTCTTTCTGACATTGATGCTCTATCAGGAGGAAGTGCCCAGCGTGAAATCGAAAATCCCCGTTCCACATCAGCATTGCCATGAGAGAGTGTCAATGCTGATTTCACCAATTTGGTTACACTGGGATATCTTGCATTCCCAAGGGAGTCAACCAATTTAAAATACTGACTCCAATAAGAATCAATTCTCTCATCTGTTGATTCTGTCAAATCACTCTCAACTCACTCAAATTGAAGTAGACGCCACTCATCCTGCAAATCATCCTCAGCAATGTCACATGGAAGAGCTCTTGCAATGCTTACAATGTCCTTATAAGTGCTTTTTTTCACTAATATTACTTGGTTGAAGACATGTCAATGATTTCAACACTTTGCATTGAATTGGAGTTTTTTCTATCATATATATGGAAGCCACAACATAGTGTTTCTGTAAGCAACTGTGAAAATGCAATTGATCTTTTTGAGATAATTTACTTAACTCATTAGAAACCCCAGCACTGCAAATAATTTCCTCTAATGGCAAAAGATTTGTCTTGTCAAATAATTTCTTTGGATTTAATACATTACTATCAGGCATAGCAGACTTAGACTGAATGACAAGCTTCAAAATATCTACTTTCAAAATTCTAGTAACTAGCTTTAGAAGCAAGTCCCACAGTTTGCTGTACAGGAGATGTATTAGAGGTTCTTCTCTTCGAAAAAATGATGTATATTTTGTGAAAATTTCTGCACTTGAAATGCCTTGTAGTACTTCTGCTTTCATGTAAGGAATCTTCAACAAACAAGATATACTTCTGTACAAAACACTTGACATTATGCTTTGTTTACTTGAAGGAATATACTTTAAGAAGTAGTAAGTTATGCCCTCCCACTGCTCAATTAACCTTGATGCTGCATCATGGAATGTCAGCCAACGTGTTGTTGAGTGTTTTATAAATCTATGCTTAGGCAACTTGAGCTTTTCTTGCACAGCTTCATAATTTTCCCACCGAGCAGGCCATCCATCAAAAAATCTGTAAACTGCCACAATAAGTTCTGATGCATCTTCACCCAGTTCACTTAATGCCTTCAGATATGTGTTATGAATAATATGAATCGTACATGTTCCAATGTCAACAAGGCTTTTCTTGCGAATTCCCAGTATATCTTCCTTAAAAAGTCGTAACACTTTTTGATTAACATTAGGACCATCTGATCCTATCATCAAAAGTTTGTGTAGTGACAGGTTGG